AGTTAAAACTTGCACATGAGCTCATAATTGTATAAAATCAGATAAACAAGCCGAATATGACAGTTGAGCGACCGTGCTAGAACCATGGAACTCGGGAATGCCTAACACCTTCTCCCAGGTTAACAGAATTCCTTATCTGGATTTCTGGTTCGCGGACTGTAATACAGAGTCTTTCTTTTCCTCGATTCGGGATTAAATTGGTGACTTGGGACACCCGAAATCTCCCAAATGGCAACTCTGAAATAAATAAACAAATCCTGTTTCGATTGTCCTTTAATTAGAAAAAACTCCTTCACCCCTCGCGGGGCGGAAAAAAGAGGTGTGACAGCTGAAAATCATTAACACATAGAAATCATGCCTATAAGGATTCTTAAATAAATCTGATTCGTTCCATTCACATTCAATGTTAGATATCATGTTCATAGGGTTTAAATCAGCAATAGTAGATACCATCACCTGCAGAATCTGAAATTGGTCTATTTTAAAATCAGTCTATTCTGAAGTAGTTTTAAACAATCTAATTCCCTTACTTAACGAGGTTTAGCAAGCATGCCTATAGGGTTTCAAACAAATCATTTTTGAGTTATTACTGTTTCGCCGCATTTTGAATTAAATAGATATCATGCCTATAGGACCCCGTTTAAACACTTAGGCAAGCCTTAGAGTAATAACTGTACAACTGAATCCGTTTTGTTGATTGCTACAACCAGCAGGCAGGCCTGATTCGGACTTCTTATCTGAGTTATGTAATAAACTAATCTGCCTCAATAATTAACTTCCCTCGTCTTTATTACTTTAATCAGACCTAAAAAGTATGTGCAAGTCATGCTAGTTATGTGTTTTTGTTCAAGGAGGTGTATATGAGCCTTTATTTGTTTATATGTTTCGCCAACATGCAGTATGTGTTTTTTGTATGTCGCCTTAGATTTTTATCCTTTGAAACCAATTAGCCTAATATCCCTCCCCTTTAGGAATAGTAGTCCTAAGCCCCTCCGTGACTGATAGGAATGGGACGGGTAATAGCATGCAATAGTAATCGAGACCAATCCGTGCTTTAATACCTTTAACGGGGTGGGAAGGGTAGATATGGATATGATGACTACGTGCTAATGCCACGTGTAGCCCCTCATTGAGAAGTGTTTACCGAGCATTATGTGGGGTGACCCATATTAAATATAAACCTAGGAACCCCCCCTTTTTTTCCTTTATTTGCAAACTCCTTTTATAGCTCTTCTTTAACTATTCTTTTTTTTATGTGTTTAAATTTAAATCCCCTAATATTTGAGTCCATACTTGTCTATTTGCTATATTCACAATAACTGTTTGGCCGGGAACCACATTAGTGGATCCTGAGGGGTGCCTAACACCTTCCCCTCGGAATAATTTCAAACTCTTACCAATCTCTGGTTATCCAAACAAACTTAGATTTGATCTCCATTGGTGTCCTAATGCACCTTAACTCAATAGGTGGTGACTCTTCAAATGCAAAACCAGTTCCCAAAAGGAACGAGTTGTACCTCCAAATGTCATAAACCCGATTTCGCGAGAAAACATGGCGTGACAGGATGCCTCTATTAGCCTACTGTACCCAAGGTGCATAGAGACAAATTTGAACCCATAACCACTCCTCATGTTTTTATGGGCTATCCTTTTGGGACAAAGGGTTATAAAGTGTTAAGCCTTGCCACTAAGAAGATTCATGTCCTTAGAGATGTAGTATTCCATGAAAGTGTCTTTCCTTTCTCTTTAAAGTCTAAGAATGTCTCCCTATATAATAATCTCAAGCCAGTCTCTCTTCTTGTTTACTCTGAGAATGGCACTCCACACTCTAATGCTCAAAATACTACAAGTATCATATCTCCAGATGTGCCTCAATCCCCTGTATCCTCACCTGCTAGTGATACTACCATGCACACATCAAACATTCAGTCTTTTCACTATTCTCCTACCCCTGCAAATTTACATGAATTTCTCAATCCTCATTCATCAACATCTACCCAATAAGATTCACCTCTTTTAAAAAGAACCACTAGAACCCCTACATACCTTCAGGATTACATCTATACTCTACCTAACATATCACATCCTGATGTTCCTCAGGATCCATCTTCTTTGAGTGCACTCTTCTCCAATTACAGTTATATCACACCTGATGCACTATGCCCTGAAAGTCAGCACTTAGTGACAAATGTTTGTCATGATAGTAAGTCATCTTCATATGGAGAGGCAACACTCAGTCCTGCATGGCAAGCAGCCATGACACAGGAGTTTGAGGCTCTCTACGCAAATAACACTTGGGACTTAGTCCCTTTGCCAGGAAAGCAGGCAATAGGCTACAAATGGGTCTATAAAATTAAGCACAAAGCAGATGGTAGTATAGAGAGATTTAAGGCTAGATTAGTGGTAAAGGGGTATACCCAACAAGCAGGAATTGACTATACAAAAACCTTTTCCCCTGTTATCAAAATGACAACAATTAGAGTTTTGGTTACTATTGTTGTGAAGAAAGGCTGGGATATATTTCATATTGATGTAAATAATACATTCCTCCATGGTGACCTATATGAAGAAGTGTACATGAAGGTGCCACCAGGTCTCTTAATTGACCAGACCGGTCCATAAAAGGTGGTTTGCAAACTCAACAAATAATTGTATAGGCTGAAGCAAGCCAGTAGGCAATGGTATGCCAAGTTGACTGAAGCCCTATCATCAATGGGGTATAGACACTCTGAGAATGATTATCCACTCTTCTCCAAGAAGACTTCTTCTCACATCATTTTTGTAGCTGTCTATGTTGATGATGTTATCATCACTAGGACTGATTCAATGGAGATAGCCAATTTGAAATCATTCCCTGATAAGTAATTCAAAATTAAGGATCTGGGGAAACTCCATTACTTCTTGGTCCTAGAGGTTCTCAACAAATCAGATGGCGTTATCATATCATAAAGGAAGTTCACCCTAGATTTGCTGAAGGAATATGATTGTTTTGATTACAGCAGTTTGTCCTCTCCTCTTGACCCTGCTATGAAGTTAAAAGCTAATGAGGGCACTCTTCTTCCAAACCCTACATATTACAGAAAATTAGTGGGAAAGCTAAACTTTCTCACCAACACACGACTTTATATAGCCTACAGTGTATAGCTTCTCAGCCAGTTCATGCAAGCATCTAGAGATACACATTTGACAGCAGCATTTCATCTCCTCGGGTATCTCAAGACAGATCCCACACTTGGTATATTTTTTTTTCAAAAACACTGATTGCTCCATTAGTGCCTACTGTGACTCTGACTGGGCTTCATGCCCTGACTCTAGAAAGTCTGTCATTGGCTACATTGTTTTGGTTGGAGATAGTCCCATTAGTTGGAAATCAAAGAAGCAAGAAACTATTTCCTTATCCTCAACTGAGGCTGAGTACAGGTCCCTCAGGAAAGTGGTAGGAGAACTGGTATGGTTGAACAGGTTATTTGAAGAGTTTACTATTTCTCAGTCCAGTCCCATTACTGTATTTTGTGACATCCAATATGCTATCCAAATTGCTCACAATCCAGTTTTTCATGAACGGACAAAACACATTGAGGTTGATTGTCACTTTGTATGGAACAAACTTCAGGAAGGGTTGATTTCTCTCCACCATGTGGCCACCACTAACCAATTAGCTGACATCCTCACCAAGGCACTCACAGGGGTCAAACATCATGTTGTGCTTGGCAAGTTGGCTGTGAGATCCTCCCATCTAACTTGAGGGGGAGTATTGAGACATGTTTAGTTAGTTTTAGTTATTGTTAGATATTGGCTAGTTAGATACTATTATTAGCTCTTACTTAGCTAAGTTAATTGTATTAGCTTGTATTAGATGTCTTTTATTTTTTTCACGTGCACATACATATACAGGTTGTACAGTGAAAATGAGATGAGAGTCATTTTTCACATTTCCATTTCATCTGCTCTCCTACAAGATATTTTCTTCTCTTTTTTGGAATATTCCAGAACCTCCATTGAAGCTCTTGTATGAGCTTCATCTTAGCTCAAAGTAAGAATCTCAATAATCCTTGACACCAAAAAAATATGTACCGGAAAGAGTTTCCAGATCATAAAGTTTTGTGGATTCCTCAAGTGATTCTTGTTCATCTATTTCAAACGTAATAATTTGCAGATATCTCAATTTAACCATCTTCCAAACTGTAATGGGTAGTATCAAGCTTTTTCCTAAGTTTAACTATCAAAGTTTCAAGGTTCAAAAGATTGCATATGGTTGAAGGAATTGAAATCTGATTAACTTTTGCTAAAAAATGTATACCTCAACTTTTCCCAAAAGATTGGTATTTTGGGAAAGGAGTATTTAGCTCTGAATTCCAGTTTAGTCTTCCAAATTTCTGTTGGGACGTGAATGGTAAAGGGATCATATCAATGTACTCATCCCTTCGGGATGTAGTAAGAAACTCCTTGAAGTAGGCTCCTGGATCTCGGCCGTAGATGCATGCAACCTCTTCCAAATTTCTTGCATTTTCTAAATGACATGTAGCATGTCGCATTCACTTGCGAAGGCGAAACTCTACAAATAGAGAAACTTATCCAGAACTTTTAAAGAACTTCAACCGATCCTTTGTAACATCGCAGTCGATGTCTGGTATTATTTTGAGGATCTGATCTTTCATTGTAGACAAATTGTTATCTAAAGCAATCAATCTCCCTCTTTCTTAGAAGTTGGGATCAAAGAATTAAACTGTTATGAACTTGAATTGCAAGGGAAGAAAAGCAGTTGATATGCAAATCAAACATTTTCATGCAGTCTATAATAGTTGTATTATTTATAACCAGCAAGTCAACTTTGTTGTTTGTCCACATTACTATTCTTTATATGCCTGGGACACACAAGATTCCTTTCCTTCTTTTTTAATTATCATTTTAAACACAGAATCATTATTGATCAATCATGTTAAGGGTTGAAGTTTTTATGATTTACAAAATATGACTAAATGTTCAAAGAACCAAGTCCTCAACGTAGCTGCTTGATTGTTTTGAAGCACTAGCTCCTCAGAAGAAAGGATCAACCCCTCATGTTGATACTTGTACGTCTGTACAAGACAGTGACTTTATCTCAAAGTTACCCAGGTCCGAGTTTGGTGGAAGAAGGCTATTATAAGTAATAATGGTCGTCGCTCAAGAAGATACGGATAATTCGGTAAAAGACAAATGTCCCAAAACTTGTTGAATCCCTGGAACAATAGGAGTCCTATTAAAGAGGAAGCTGACTATGAATAGGACTCCTAGAAGATCTCAAGTTGAAGCTTTTAAATACGATCAACTTTAGACTTCTAAACTATCATTTTACACATTAACTAAAGAGTCATAAGTTGTTTACTCGAGTCGAGTACTTGCATTATATTCTTCCTGAATCAGTCTAGTGAATGTATTTTAGGAAATTGAATTGTAATCAAGTGTCATAAATAATTAGTGAATTGGCGTGAGTATTTTGCTTTACGAGTTAGAGTAACTTATGAATGAAATAGGAGGAGTACTGCAGAGTATTTAATTACAGTCTTGTAATTGATACATTTTGGCTCATTGTTCTATTGGAGTTGGAGCTGAAAGGTCGTGGTTTTCGCACCTTTTGAGCTAGGTGATTTTCCATATAAAAATCTATATGTTCATTTTATTGGTTATTTACTTTATACTTAAGGAACACGATAAAGAATCAAGTTATTTAGTAATCCATATGGGCACTCAAACTAATAGTTGGTTAGAGCAGTTTCTCTCATTTACATGGCTAACACCTAGAGAGATCTTGTAAGAAAGGTGAGTGCTCCACCCGGAATTAATGAACGACAATCAACTACCAGGCCACCCCTATTAAATGGAAAGTATTACAGTTGGTGAAAGAAAGAATGAAATACTTCCTAACAACTGATGAGTATGAATAGGGGTATACATGGACCAGATTGGTCGAATTTTTTCAAAACCAAACCAAACCAACTATATCGGTTTGGATTGGTTCGATTTTGTCGGATTTTTCAGGTTTTTCAGATTTTTTGTTACTTAAATATTATTTCAATCTTACTTTATTAAATTTTTTATAAGTAAATATATGTTTACTAGAAATATAAAAAATTGACAAACATATTATCTATTAAAATATTCTTATGAGAGAATTTTCTTAGTAACACATAATAGTTATTTTTTTAGTCGTCTGGCAATAATGTTTCGTTGATGTACACTTTTAAGGTTAATCGAATTTAGTAATTAAAAACAAAAATCAAGACGATACCTAAATAATAACAATAATTTCACATTCGAAAAAGATATAACAATTTAGTAGATCTTAACATGTGATATGAATATGGAAGAACAAAGAGATTGACGCATTTCAGTAACACTTGATGAAAAAGTGATCATACAACCCATTATTTAAAGTTAGTAAATAAGGAGCACTTCATATACTATTGAATATTATATCCCGCAAGATAATCCCAAATATTTCTAGACATTTTTTAAGAATATTTTATATAAATCTTAAAAGTATATATAAAAATTATACTCCCTCCGTTTCAATTTATGTGAACCTGTTTGACTGGGCACGGAGTTTAAGAAAAAATGAAGACTTTTGGAATTTGTGGTCCTAAACAAGACAAAAAGGCGCACAGAGTATTTGTGTGGTTACAAAAGCTTCTCATTAAGGGTAGAATTGTAAGTTTAAGCTAAATTGTTACCAAATTTAGAAAGGGGTCATTCTTTTTGCAACGGACCAAAAAGGAAATAGGTTCACATAAACTGCAACAGAAGGAGTATATTTATATGTCGGTTTGGTTCGAATTTTTTTTTACTCAATACCAAACCAAATCAAACCAAACCTAGTCAGGTTTTTTAACTGGTTTCGTTTGACTTATCGGTTTGGTGCGGTTTTTCGATTCAGTTTCTAAATCCCTAACTATGAACTATGGACCACAGTGAACCAAGGTCCTTTGATTCCCACTAATCAAAATGCACAAAATGAAACAGTTCCTAAGGACCCCTCTAAATTTGTGGCAGCAGATTTCAGAATGATGGAGAAGAATGCAAAGGTTAAGAAATTCCTTATCTGTGGACTTGGTCCTGATGAATACAATAGAATTTCTGTGTGCTCTAATGCGAAGCACATATGGGATGCACTCCAAACTGCTCATGAAGGAACAAACCAAGTAAAGAGATCAAGGATAGAGCTACTCATGAGAAACTATGAGTTCTTCCATGAAGGAGTCTGAGTCTATCCAGGATATGATGACTAGGTTTACTATAATAATCAACGAACTGAAATCACTTGGAAAGGTGTTTACCTCAAAAGAGTTGGTTAGTAAAGTTCTAAGCATCATTCCAGCTTCATGGGAATCAAAAGTCACTGCAATCCAGGAAGCCAAGGAATTAAAATATCACTAAATGAGTTGGTTGGAAATTTAAAAATACATGAAAGGAGAAAGATAGAACTGCACAAGGAAGAACCAAAGACGGATAAGGCCTTGGTTCTTAAAGCGTTTGAGGATGATCAATCTAACTATGATGATCTTGATCTAGCAATGTTTGCCAAGTTGAAGAGGTTCATGAAGAATTCCAAAAGTGCATCCAAGAGAGGGACCAATAGTAAGCCC